TCTTGATTTTGGCTCAGGTCATGATCTCAGGGTTTGTGAGATTGAGTCCCACATCAGGCTCTGTGCTGTCAATGGGGAGCCAGCTTGGGATTCTCTCTCTCCTCTCTCTGCTCCCTCCTCTGCTCATGTTCTAACTCTCTCAAAATGAATAAATAAACATTTTTTAAAAGAGTAGTAACTGGGGCGCCTGGGTGGCGCAGTCGGTTAAATCCGACTTCGAAAACTGAGTCACGTCTAGCATGATCCGATGAGTTGAGAATGACGTGGGGCTCAAAAGGCTGATGGCTCAGAGCCTGGAGCCTGTATTTCGATTCTGTGTCTCCCTCTCTCTGCCCCTATAAGCTGCGTTCATGCTCTGTCTCTCTCTGTCCCAAAAATAAATAAACGTTGAAAAAAAAAAATTTTTTTTAAAAAAAAGAGTAGTAACTAAATATAAAAATGGAAAGATATATTAATTAACAGGCAATTTAAAAATCACAATTTTTTAACAAACATAAGAATATGTCTAATCTTACTAGTAACAGATCTATATTTTAAAATAATAACATGTCATGAATAGACACTTCTCCAAAGAAGACATCCAGATAGCCAACTGACACATGAAAAAATGCTCAACATCACTCATCATCAGGGAAATACAAATCAAAACCACAGTGAGATACCACCTCACACCTGTCAGAATGGCTAACATTAACAACTCAGGCAACAATAGATGTTGGTGAGGATGCGGAGGAAGAGGATCTTTTTTTGCACTGCTGGTGGGAATGCAAACTGGTGCAGCCACTCTGGAAAACAGTATGGAGGTTCCTCAAAAAACTAAAAATAGAACTACCCTACGACCCAGCAATTGCACTACTAGATATTTATCCAAGGGATACAGGTGTGCTGTTTTGAAGGGACACATGCACCCCAATGTCTATAGCAGCACTGTGAACAATAGCCAAAGTATGGAAAGAGCCCAGATGTCCATTGATGGATAAATGGATAAAGAAGATGTGGTATATCTATACAATGGAGTATTACTCGGCAATCAAAAAGAATGAAATCTTGCCATTTGCAGCTACATGGATGGAACTAGAAGGTATTATGCGAAGCGAAATTAGTCAGAGAAAGTCAAGTATCATATGACTTCACTCATATGAGGACTTTAAGATACAAAACAGATAAACGTAAGGGAAAGGAAGCAAAAATAATACAAAAACAGGGAAGGGGACAAAACATAAGAGACTCTTAAATATGGAGAATAAACAAAGGTTACTGGAGGAGTGTGGGAGGGGGGATGGGCTAAATGAGTAAGGGGCATTAAGGAATCTACTGAAGTCACTGTTGCACTATATGCTAACTTGGATGTAAATTAAAAAATTAATTAAAAATAAATAAAGGCAATGAGATATTTAAAAACTGTTTATAGAATAGGGTAAAAATAGAGATAGAAGAAAAGAAAAATAAAGATAAAAACCATACAATTTAAAAAATAATAAATAAATAAAATAGTAACATGTCATTTTTGCCTACACAATTTATTAAGGTTGAACAAAAATAATATCCTACATTGATAAATATATTAGAACGGCACTCAGATATTGCTGGTAGAAATTTAATTTGATGCAACTTTTCTGGTGGCCATTTTGACAATGTGTTTCAAAAGCCTTTAAACATGCATATGCTTTGACCCTACATTCTACTTCTAGAAACATATTCTAGGAAAATAATCATGAATGAGAATATAAATAAGGTATAAGCATATTACATAATTTTCAGTACTGAAAAACTAAAAACAACCTAGATAATGGGGAATTTGTTAACTAAAGTATGAGTCATACAATCAATCATTACTATATAATGATTATAATACAACCATATGGAAGTAAACAAGATATCACAATATTAGAATACCATGCATCTTTAAAAAAATTTTTTTTAATGTTTATTCATTTTTGAAAGACAGAAACTGAGCACAAGCAGGGGTGGGGCAGAGAGAGGGGGGGACACAGAATCTGAAGCAGGCTCCAGGCTCTGAACTGTCAGCACAGAGCCCGACATGGGGCTCAAACTCACAAACCACGAGATCATGACCCAAGCCGAAGTGGGACACTTAACCACCCGGGCGCCCCTAGAATACTGTGCATCTTTTAAAAATGAGAAAGTTCTGTACATATCAAAACAGAATTATCTATATTATATATTTCTAACTAAAGAAAAGTTATGTGCAGAAATGTGTATATGGCATACTGCCATTTCTGTAAAAAAAAAGAAAAAAGAAAAAATTACATACACATATTTGTTTCATTAAGCATATATTATATCCGGAAGACATAAGGGAATACCTACGGAAAAAAGAAATGAGTATCTAGAGACAGAGTAGGAATATACTCTTGTATACTCTTGTGTACCTGTGGATTTTGAATCATGTGAATATATTTCTATTTCTATAAGTAAAATAATGTCATAGAATATTAAATAACATAGGAAGGAGTTCTGCTTTCAATTAAGCTAAGTAAGTTCCTATCAGACCAACCCTCCCTTAGATAACTATAAACTTGGGATGTAATACAAACTCTCAGGCACCTGCGTGGCTCAGTCGGTTAAGTATGTGACTTTGGCTCAGGGCATGATCCCGAGAGATCATGGGTTCGAGTCCTGAATCAGGTGAGCTTGAGCCCCACTTGGGTGAACACAAGCCCCACTTTGGGTGAGCCCCACTTCTCTCTCTCTCATTGTCTCTCTCTCCCTCCCTCCGTCTCTCTCTTTGCCCTCACTTGCACCCTCTCTCTTTCTCAAAAAAATACAGACTACCTGAAGGTTCTTTACAGTGAACAAAAGCAGGAAAATTCTGGAGGGGGACATTTGGAAGATGGGATGAAACACAGGATAAATTTCCTATTTGTGTTCTGGCTTTAGCTCAAGGGAAGGCCACAGTCAATGCTGTGCAGTATTGTGCAGGTATTTACAGAAAATCTCCGTCTTTCTGGCTTGAAGAACCAGAGGTCAACCACAGGTACTAGAAAGGGAAGGAGGAATCCCATAAAAGATGGAGTTACAGAGAAGAACCCACAAATTCTGTGGGAAAAAAAAAAAAACCCGCCCAAATCTTCATCTGCTGTGTGAATCGCCATGTCAGGCAGTTTGCAAGCAGCTCAGCTAAAGATGAAAGAACTTAGCTGAAATTTGAGTTGCCCGCCCGTTGGGTTTACAGATTGAGTACAACCAATTAAATTGTCTGCCAAATCAAGAGTTATTTCTTTTTAGGTGAGTTTTGGTGGTTTGTGGCTTTCAAGGAATTAGTTCATTTCCTTTACTTATTGAATACACTTAGAGCTGTTTGTAGTATTCCTCTATTACCTTCCTTATTGTGCTGTGGTTGATAATGATATTTCTCTTCCTGACATATAACTTGTGTTGTTTTCCTCTTTTTCTTTGTCAAACTGTCTACAGTGTATCAATTTTATTGCTCTTTTCAAAGAACCAGCTTTTGGTTTGATCAATTTTCTCCACTGCTTTGTTATTTTCAATGTTATTGATTTCTGCTCTTGTTTTTATTATTTCCTTACTTGACTGGGATTTTTGTTTGGTTTGGTTTGTTTGATTCATTTTGTTTCCTTTCTTTTTTTTTATTTAAAAAAATTTTTTTAATTTTTTTTTATTTTTGAGAGAGGGAGAAATGGACCACAAGTGGGGGAGGGTTAGAGAGAGGAGACACAGAATCCGAAGCAGGCTCCAGGCTCTGAGCTGTCAGCACAGAGCTTGACGTGGGGCTCAAACTCACAAACCAGGAGATCGTGACCTGAGCCCAAGTCAGACGCTTAACCACCTGAGCCACCCAGGCGCCTCCATTTTGTTTCATTTCTTAAGGTTGAAAGTTTAAGTATATTATTGATTTAAGACCTTTCTTACTATGTTCTGTGAGCACTAAATGCTATAAATTTCTCTGTAAGCACTATTTTGCTGCATCCCATAAATTTTGGTATATTCATTTTCACTTCATTCCACTCCAAATATTTTCTAATTTCCCTCGAGACTTCTTTTTTTGACCCATAGATTAAAAGTATGTTGTGCAATTTCCAAGTATTTGGGGACTTTCCAGATATCCTTCTAAAATTGATTTTTAATTTAATTTCATTATCACCAGAAACCATCCTTTGCTCACTGTTTCTTTTAAATTTGGTAAGATTTGTTTTATGACCCAGGATATGGGTAATCTTGATGTTTGATGTGCACTTGAAAAGAATATATGTTACACTGTTGTTGGGTGGAGTATCCTATAAATAATCAGTTAGATATAGTGGTTGATGGTATTATTCAGGTTTTTTATTATCCTTGCAGATTTCCTGTCCAGTGGTTCTTCTGATAACTAAAAGAGAAGTACTGAAGTCTCCAATTATAATTATGAAATTGTCTATTTTTCCTTTGAATTCTGCAAGTTCTTCATGTATTTTGAAGTTTTGTTGTTAGATACATATCTATTTACCAGAGAAACATAATAAGCCTAAAATAACCTTTCTTTGATTATGTAGTGTCCCTCTTTCTCCCTGGTATTTCATCTTGCTCTAAAGTCTAATTTGTCTAAGGGCACCTGGGTGGCTCAGTCAGTTGAGCATCTGACTTAGGCTCAGGTTTGTGGGCTCAAACCCTGCATCAGGCTCTGTGCTGATAGCTCAGAGCATGGAGCCTACTTCAGATTCTGTGTCTCCTTCTCCTTCAGCCCCTCCCTGCTCATGCTCTGTCTTTCTCTCTCTCTCTCTCTCTCTCTCTCTCTCAGAAATGAATACATGTTTAAAAAAATTTAAAAATAAAAGAATTATTATCCTCTCAAAATTATATAGTGCTTCAGTCATCTCAGAGGAAAAAAAAGCTTACAATATCAGTTTACAAAATTTCAGTTTAATAAAACTATATCTCTACTAAGAATAATTCCCCCCAAACCAGATTTTATCAGATCCACATTATACCTAGACAAAATATAATTTTTCATTCTGATATTATTTCAATGATAAAATTACCTTTGTGCTTATTCAGAAGCTTGTAGCCTTCACAGTATCTGCCTGGTGAAAGCATCATCTTGGCTGTGTCAAGATAAGAGTATGTTGCAGCAAAATCAAACTCCGTTTTACCATCCCACCAACCTTTCTGCTTAGCATAGTTTCTCAGGTCTGGATGTTCCCGATCAATCTTGGTTGTTATAGAAAGCTGATTAGAAATATTACGAACTCCCTCTGTTTTCAAAGAAGAACAAGGAAAGGGAAGAGAAAAATTACATTTAACATACTGTATTTATCTGTACATTATAATTATTAACCACTATTTAAATGTGAATGTAGGGGCGCCTGGGTGGCGCAGTCGGTTAAGCTTCCAACTTCAGCCAGGTCACGATCTCGCGGTCCGTGAGTTCGAGCCCCGCGTCGGGCTCTGGGCTGATGGCTCAGAGCCTGGAGCCTGTTTCCGATTCTGTGTCTCCCTCTCTCTCTGCCCCTCCCCCGTTCATGCTCTGTCTCTCTCTGTCCCAAAAATAAATAAACGTTGAAAAAAAAAAAAATTAAAAAAAAAATTAAATGTGAATGTAGACTTCTATTACACAAAGACATAAAAGAATTACTTAAAAAAATTTTTTTTTAAGTTTATTCATTTTGAGAGAGACAGAGCATGTGAATAGGGAAGGGGCAGAGAGAAAGGGAGAGAGAATCCCAAGCAGGCTCCATACTGTCAGGACAGAGCCTGACACAGTGCTCAATCCCACGAAATGTGAGATCACGACCTGAGCTGAAGTCAGACACATAAGTGACTGAGCCACGCAGGCACCCCCTAGACGTTACTTTTTAAGAAGTAGTCATAAATAATATTAGAACAGATATATAAGACTTTTCAAAATATCATGGCACTAAGTTATAACAAATTTTCAACTAAAAAACAAAACAGGTGGGAGGGAGGAGAGGGTGGGTGATGGGTATTGAGGAGGGCACCTTTTGGGATGAGCACTGGTTGTTGTAAGGAAACCAATTTGACAATAAACTTCATATATTGAAAAAATAAAAATAAAAAATAAATAAAAAACAAAACAGAAGAAACAATAAAAACCAGTTCTAAAGAGATCATAGTAAATAAAAGAGATCACGAAAAATGAAAATTGATGAATGTTTTAAAACGGATTTAGAATAACACTCTGACAAGTAGAAATCAATTGCCCCCCAATTAGAAAATAATAAAATGTCTAAATTCACTTTTATATCTTAACAAACACACAGGCAAAATATAAAATGAAATGTCCATCAAAACTGGCAATGACTTATTTTGAAAAATAACATCCAAATTCTCCAAAGCTCAAGGCTACCTTCATGAAGACTTTCTGAATTTTTCCAGTCCACAATTACTTTTCCCTTCGCTAATTGTTCACAGCATCTATGTGCCTGAATCATTCATGCAACATGTAATATTTTCTCATGTGTACCTTATCTCCCCTGTAAAACTAGGAGATCCAGGAGGTAAGTACATAGGGAGTACATGATCATGCTTAAGCACAAGACTGTACTCTAATGAAAGAATATTGAACTGAGAGTCAGGATGGAAAGATTTAAATTCTAAGCCTTTCAATCACTGCCTTGAGTAAATCACATCCCTTTTCTGGATTTCCTTACTTTAAAAATGAAAGGAATATTTGATCACAAAGAAACCATGAAAAACATGTAAAGCATCCCAAACCAATCAAATTGTGTTACTTTACTCAGTGTTTATGCTTTACTATAATATCAACATATTCTTTCCAACCCTAATGGACAGACACAAATCCCCAGCAACACTCCCCTTGCCTTACCTCCTTATGCATGTGTGATCAAATTTTTGAGTTCAGCCCAAAGGTAAATGAGGAAGAAATGGCAAGGGGTTATTAAGTGGAAAAGTACTATAAAACAGCCAAGAGCAGCTGCACAGAAAATATATACAGGTCATATAAAATTAATATCATAATATGAAAAAGAGATAACATCATCTTTTCCTCTTTTTCAGAAAAGTTTTTTATAGTGCTCTTTCACTATTACATTCTTTCACATTTTTTTTCATTTCCCCTGCACTTTAACCCTTTACTGCACTGGATTATAAATCTTGAGAAACAATTAAATGCAATGTCTACAGTTAAGGGGGTTATTTTATTAATTGTAAAACAAACTAAAAACAAATTAAATCATGAGAAGTTGTCCATACCTTGTACTTTTTCTGCTGCCCAGTACTTCCCTGCAGTCTCCAGAATCCAGGCTTCTTTCCTATCAGCTATCAGGAAACTGTTGTGATAGCTGAATACCATCCTACCCTCTGAACAATTTCCACCCTGGCCATATTTTTCTAATAGATCAACAATGACATTGAGGGCTTTTTCAGCTGTATCAGCTCTTTCAAGGCCAAGTCTAAAATAAAAATATTAAAGTTCTCAGATTAAAATAACTTTCCATTATTTTTCTTAAATAATTTCATGTACATGAGATTTTATTTTATATTCAAAATAAAAGTTCTTTTTTAAGAACTTTATCTGTTTTAAGTTAACAGATAAACTGAAATCCAACTTTAAAAAAATTTTTTTTAACGTTTACTTATTTTTTTTTCATTTTTTTTTTTAACGTTTATTTATTTTTGAGACAAAGAGAGACAGAGCATGAATGGGGGAGGGTCAGAGAGAGGGAGACACAGACTCTGAAACAGGCTCCAGGCTCCAAGCTGTCAGCACAGAGCCCGACGCGGGGCTCGAACTCACAGACCGCGAGATCATGACCTGAGCCGAAGTCGGCCACTCAAAGACTGAGCCACCCAGGCGCCCCAACGTTTATTATTTTTGAGAGAGACAGAGAGACAGAGACAGAGCACAAGAGAGGGAGGGGCAGAAGAGAGCAAGAGACACAGAATCTGAAGCAGGCTCCAGGCTCCAAGCTGTCAGCACAGAGCTCAGTGCAGGGCTCGAACTCACAAACTGTGAGAACATGACCTGAGCCAAAGCTGAACGCTTAACTGACTGAGCCACCCAGGCACCCCTGAAATCCAACTTCTAAGCCATTCCTTCTGAAGTCAGTTTGAAATCATGAAAATAAAGTTTTTGGAGTGAAATAGCTCAATGTTAAAATTCCAATGTGGTAACTTATTGCCAAGTTGCTTTATCTCTGTACCTCAGGTATCTCATCTGTAAAATGAGGATAATAATATATGAGGTTACTGTGACAATTAAGGTCTGATAAAGTATATTTGGTATTTCCAATAAACCATAATTTTCAACCCCTTCTCTCAATGATATTTGAGTCTTCAAATTACATGCCTATATGGGCATACTTTGGAGATAATGCAGGAGCAGTTACAGGCCACTGGAATAAAATGAATATTGTGAAAAGTGAGTCAAATGAATTTTTTGGTTTCCAAGTGTATATAAAAGTTATGTTCACACTATACTGTAGTCTATTAAGTATGCAACAGCATTACGTCTAAAAAAACAATTATATACCTTAATTTAAAAATTAATTTAAAACTATTGCTAAAAAATGCTAACCATTATCTGAGCTTTCAATAAGTTATAGTCACTGATTACAGATCACCATAAGAAATATAATAATAATAAAAAGTTTGAAATAGTGTGAGAATTGGGGCACCTGGGTGACTCAGTCAGTTGAGCATCCAACTCTTGGTTTTGGCTCAGGTCATGATCTCACAGCTCATGAGTTCAAACCCCACATCGGGCTCTGTGCTGACAGTGCAGACCTGCTTAGGATTCTCTCTCCCTCTCTCTGCCCCTCCCCCACTCATGCTGTCTCTGTCTCCCTCAAAATAAATAAATACACTTAAAAAATATACAAATACAAAAAATAGCGTGAGACACAAAAATCGTGTGAGATACCAAAATGTGACACAGAGACACAAAGTGAGCAAATGCTATTGTAAAAAATGGCACCAACAGACTTGCCTGACACAGCACTGCCACAAACCTTCCATTTCTAAAAAATGCAGTATCTGTGAAGTGCAATAAAGGAAACCATAATAAAGTGAGGTATGCCTGTATTCTAAAGCATTTGAACACAAACTATGAAGTATCGACATCCCCAAAATGGGACAAAAATAGGAAAATAAAACTGGCAAGAGTTATGCCAAAATTAAAATTTTAGACATGGTCTATACCAGAAAAATATAATTAAAAAATAACCTGACAAGATCCATGCCCAGTAGCGCCTCTTCATCACACACTTCTTCTCTTCCCCATACAGCTTCATTCCCAATGCAAACTCCATGCTCGTTGGCTCCCATTTCTGCCCCCCATAACCAAGCTGGGCGACTGAGGACAACAGCATATGTTTCAGGAACTTGATCAATTTCTATGTAAGTACACTGTAAAGAAAGGCATAACAACGACCATAAAACCAAAAAAGAAAAAGTTACCAAATTCTAGAATCCTAAAAATCAGAAGACATGCCCGTTATGAAATAAAGTATAACTAACTTAAAAATTTCAATAATAAAGTCATTACCCCTAAAACATATTCAGAATTGACCCTAAAGCTTTTATTCATTCAAATATTTACTAAGCATCTCCTCTTATAAAGTACTCTACTAAGAGATATGTTAGTTACAAAGATGAATTAGATACAGATCTTGCTTTCAAGAAACTAAGACTTGCACATTAACTAAAATATAACAAAATGTAAAGCATAAGGGCTGTGAAGAAAAATAAAAATGAGGTGCTAACGGAAGCTCAGTAGAGAGATAGTTTCTAGTTGTGAAATCTTGAAACATTTTGTAGAGGGGGATGTATTGAGTTGATGCTTAAGGGAGGAGACCTCAATCTCAATGTCTAGTATTTCTTAATTAGTGACCTAAGTCCCATATGTTAGCCCTTACATACAAGAGAATTGCTTGTATGAATTACATACAAGAGAATTATGTAGCATGTGAAAGTCAACCATCTGGTATGTCCACAGTAGTGAAAAGAATAAGAACCACTGGCTTCAGAACAGGAGAAATTTAAACATAAGAGAGAAAGTGGAAAGGGACCCATGATGAATAAATAGTCTCAGCAAAAGAAAAAAAAAATTTCCCTGTATACAGAAAACATCTTATTTAATATATTTTATTATTATTATATCAATAAAATGAAATCTAAAAAATATATGTTAGCAATAAAAGCATAATATGAAACTTTAAGTTCCGTGTTGAATGGGTTTTTAATAAAAATTTTTTAAAGGATCATTTAATTAATGTGTGTACTACTGAATGATTGCATAAAATGCATATTAATAATGTAACCACAGGGCCCCATAAACCTTTTTTGATGTTAAAACTGTTATTTCCAGAGATTGGAATGACTTTCTCTATTCTACACCAATCAGAATCCTTTTTGGCTATCAAACTCCAGCTGAATCCCAGCTCCTGGGGAAGCCTTCCTCAATCTCTAGTCTGAATTAATTGCTCCTTCTCTATTGCTGACACAACTTGTGGCTCTTATTAAAGCATCCCACTTTACAATGGGGTTAATTACATATACATCCTATCCCTCTACTAGACTCTAAGCTCCTGGAAGACAGAACTAGTCTTGACAGCAGGCGTTAAATCCTTGCCCTATTTGACATGCTTGCATATGATAAACATTTAAATATTTGATCAAAGAATCAACAACTATTTCTATTGTTTTTTCAGCTTCCTCCAAATCACTGAAATAAAAGACCAGAAGTCTAATTCTGACTCAAATTATTTTTCAAATTTAAATTCTTGAATTTTTAACTTCTAGAGTCTCTGCCAAATAACTAGCTAATTAAAAAGCTGCTTATGATACTTTTAAAGAAAACTATTGCTAACAAAACATGTACTTCACCTACCTGAAGATGTTCTCTCAGGTTCTCATGAACTGCAGCAGGAAAATAAACTACCTCCTGTACTTCATCACACAATCTATCTGAATTTTTTCCAAAAATAATCCTGTTATCAACCGTTGCTGGAGGTAATGCCACTAAAGTATCACAGGAACAAGGTTCCATTTTTTAAAAACTAAAAAACATATAGAAGATTCAAAATAAAAAGGGAGAAACATTTTTAGTATATACAAAACAAAGAGTTTTACTTGACAACCAAGGGATGTTATTGCCATATCAAATAAAGAGTGTTCATGAACGTTTTAAACTTTATACTGCACTACAAAAATCTGTAAGAAAATGGCTTGGGAATGAATCTTGTACTACAAGAATCAATAAGAAAATGACATTACAAGTAACTTCTTCTAGTCTATAGGTTAAATTTATCCTCTAAGATCTTTCTCTCCCGAAGTTTTCCCTGAATCTCCTATCAGTATTTCCATATTTGGGAACCCATGCACTTTACTGCTATGAAGACTGTATTTGTGTACGCCTATGAGTTTCCATATTTGTGCACATATATGAGTCTCCTTCTGGACAATAAGACCCATGAGGGCTGGGAGCGTGCTTTATTAATCTTTGTACTCTCATCACCTGAAGTAATGAAATGTCCCAGTATTTCCTCAAAGGAAGGAAGGGGTCTCCTTTGAGCTGGAGAAGAATACACCCAGATTATAATACTGAGAAGACTGAAATTTTAAGACTCACTGAATCAGACAAATACAAAAACATGTCAATCAAAATACCAAACTGTTGATATGTCTAGGAAGAAGTTCACATACATAACTTATAAATCCTGATTGTTGAATTTAGTATCAAGATTGTGTCTTCATTTGTAATTGGGAAAACCTGAAATCCTGTTTTGGTAGATCATATTTGCTTCCAGAATGGACATACTGTTTTAGAGTTTCCTGCTTTCCCTTATTTTATAATGCCCAAACTTTAGAATCGCTTTACACAGATACTAGCAGTTTATTTTATTAAAAAAATTTTTTTGAGAGAGAGAGAGAGAATCTTAACCAGGCTCCATGGTCAGCGACCCTGGGATCAGGACCTGAGCAGAACTCGAGATTGGATGATCCACTGACTGAGTCACCCAGGTAACCCATACTAGCAGTTTAAAAACAAAAAGTAAGTTTAATAAATGTTTCATTCAAAAGAAAACAAGTGACTCAAGTAAGAAAGAAACACATTCAGCCTGAAACTCCTAACACTTTACTCTTTTCTTGTTGTTGAAAGAGGGAAGTCACGATTGCTGCTGTTCTTTTCTGTGTAAATTTCAACCTTTATGTCCTAGGTCCAGTTCTATTTGTGTTCCAAAGTTAGTTATACCACTGCATGACCTTGGCAAGCTATTCAATCTCGAACTAAGCCTTCTGCCTCATCGGTAAATATCTCAGGAGGTTGTTAATTAGAATTTAAAAAGACAGTGTGTAAAGCGTTTTTGCACAGGGCAAGGAACATATCAGACACTCAAATGAAAGCTGTTATTATTGGGCAGAAGAGTATATTTCTCATAAAAGGCTTCTTCTTGTTATCATACCCACCCCCTCCTTGCTGAGGATTTGGTTGGTGGATCCCCTACAGCAAAGCAGCCACGTCCACTCAAAACCCCGGAGTCTGAAGGGCCGTTAAAATGCACTAGATGATCTATGCTAACTGGAGTCATACGAGAAGCTAAGGAAACACGCCACCTACTTAGGAAAACGCCTAGCACGTTTATAAGGGGATGGCTTGAGAGTCTTTATTAACTCCCAGTACGCATTCATCATCAACAAATGTTTAAGAACATCTTTCTGAACCAGGCACGGTACAGCTGAGAATCCTCGCTCTTATGGAGTTGACATTCCATTCTATATGCTTTAGCGTTTTTAGAAATATCACATCGTTTGATCCACCCGATCCGTACGTACTACAGTTCGGACGAGAAGTACTATTTTCAAAACGCAAACGAAAAAACTCGGTGCGAAGAACTTTATGTACCTGGAGTCAGAGTTCACAGAATAAAGAGGACGAACTTCAAGCACCCCTTGCCACCTAGCACACACTCTGCACCCCAGCTGGCGGCGCTCAGCCCGCAGCCGGCTCACCCCAGACCCGGGGCCTCTCCCGGAGCCCCTCGGTCCCGCCGCGCCACAGCGCGCGGCTTCCCACCTAGCACCACAACTTTGCACGCCCCTGCCCCGTTCACGCCCCTCACCTGGCCTAGGAGCTACCCTCAGAGGAAGGGGTAAGGGGTGTGCTAGGGCGGGCGGAGGAGCTAGCGGCCGGAAGCTGTCACCTTTGACCGCGGAAGTTCCCGCTGCCACTGGAGGCGCAGTTCCGGTTAGGCGGCAGTATTTGTTTACGTTGTTCACAGTTCCAGTGGCCGCCGGCCCCAGCGTAGGCTTCAAGATGGGGAAGTCTTTTGCCAATTTCATGTGCAAGAAGGACTTTCATCCCGCCTCCAAATCCAATATCAAGAAAGTGAGTAAGGGGAGCCGGGTAGGGTTCTGGCTCTTGGCGCCTGGAATCCCCAGGGCTGGAGGTGATGAAAGTGGTTGTGTCTGTGGGATTTCTGGAACAGTCGCCGCTTCCCCAGGCCTGACACCCTGGTCTTCCCGCCCCTTTTTCTCTGCTGAGAAACTCGCTAATAAAGCTGGCATCGACGCTTATTCTCCATCAGCCGGGAGGCGGGCAGCCTTCGTCTGCCCGGTCGGCTTGTCATCTAGAATGTGTAAATCTGTAAGATACGACGTATGATCATATGGTTCCTCGTTACTTTCTCAACTGTTTTTGGTTTTGTCTTTTCGGGTCACAGGGATCGTGGCTTCTGAGCTCTGCTATCCTGTACAAAGGTGATTCCCTGTTTATTTAAGATAGCTCTTAAGAGGGAAATAAAGGCACCTCTTTCTGTCTTTATCCCACCCGATAATGTAGCGTCTGCCTGGTGGACTCTTTGAAGTTTGGCTGTTTATTTTACTTAGTATTTTTTTTTAATTGACGTGTATACAACGTTACATTAGTTTCCGATATACAACGACGTTTGACTTTTTTTTTAATTTTTTATTATTTTTTTTTTAAGTAATCTCTGCACTCAACGTGCAGCTCTAACTCCTGCCCAGGAAATCAAGAGGCGCTTGCTCTACCAACTTGGTCAGCCAAGCGCTCCCAGCACAATCACTTTTAGCCCTGAGATCTTACACAAATACTTAATATCCTTTATCCTCAGCCTCCTAATCTATAAATTTAAAATGAACAGTATCAGTTGCCTTGACTTGGGAAATTGTTATGAGGACTCAATAAGCTGGTATAGATAAAGGCTTGAAACAAAGTACCACATAGAGGGATTGCTCAATAAAATGTTAATTTCTCCTATACACATACTTATTTTTAGCCTGCTCCTAAAATGCATGTATTACTCAGAGCTTCATCCTTGGCCTATGCCTTACTTTATATGCTTTCCCAGGCAATCACGTCCAATTTCATGGTTTTAACGACTTCTTTACTCAGGACTCTCAAATCTACAGTCTCACATTTCTTCTCCCAGCTTGGGGCATGTCAAGACAACTACATACTGGAAATTATCATCTTGACATATTACAGGCATCTCAAGCTCAACATGTCTGAAATGGATATGTCTTTCATTCAAAATCTGCTCTTCATTTTATACTTCCTATCTCATGAGTAGGAAATAGAGGTGGTAACACACATCCTGTCACCCAACCCAGAAATTCAAGATATATCCCTTTTCCGTTACCCCTTTACCTAGGTCGCTAATAAGTTCAATTTGTCTTACCTTCCAAATATTTCGAATTCATCTCTCCTCTTTATCACTACTACCTGTTTTTTAGCTCAGACCCTCGTCATCTTCCACCTGAACTATTAAATTTCCTAACAGGTTTGGTTTTGGGGGGGCTTTGTTTGTTTGTTTTGGTTTTCTTGGCCTCCAGTCTTGACCCCTCTCAAATCCATTCTCCACATCGCTATCAGAATAATATTTTTTATTTGGCAACTTTATTGAGGTACAGTTCACATACTAGACAATTACCCACTTAAAGTGTACTGTTCAGTGGTTTTTAGTATATTCACAGATTTGTGCAGTCACCACCACAAACAATTTAGAATACTTTCATCATCTCCCCACAAGACCTGTATCTGTTAGCACTTATTCTCCATTTGTCCTTACCACCATCCCCGCCCCACCCCCATCCCGAGGTAACCACTAACCTACTTTATTTCTGTGGGTTTGCCTATTCGGGATGTTTCCTAAAAATGTAATCATGCAATATATGGCCTTTTGTGGCTGGTTTCTTTCACTTACCATAACAGTTTTGAACTTCATCCATGTTGTAGAACGTGTCAGTATTGTATTTCTTTTTATGGCTTAATAATTCCATTGTATTGATATAGTACATTTTATGTATCCATTCATCGGTTGAATATTTGGGTTGTTTCCATAGAGTGATCTTTTTAAAGCACAAATCTGATTGCTTGGCTTCTTAGTAAAATACTACAGGATTAAATCCTAGTTATTTGGATTCAGTTTATTTTTCCTTCTTCATCCCCTATTGCTACTCTCTTACCTCAGATTTTACACTCCAGTAATACTAAACTACTTAATTCTTATTTTGCACCTTTCGGCCTTTGTCTGAGCTTTTCCCTCTGCTAGTACTATCTTACTGTGTTTTTTTCCTTGGCAAATTTTGATCCTCTTCAAAACCCTGCTTGACATGTATGGTATTACTTATGTAGAGGGTTATTTGTTGAAGCAGAGTTTGTAATAGCAAAAGATTGGAAATTTCCTAAATGCCCATCAGTACAACAGGAGATTGGTTAAGTAAATGATGGGATAGCTCCACAGTAAAATGATATTCAGCCCCTCCTCCCTCCAAAACCAAGAAACTTTTTTTAACTGACCTAGGAATGATCTCTATGATACTCAATTTTATTTTATACATATTCTGTGTATACATGCAGTATATGTTACCATTTATGAAAAGAGTGAGAAAAGAATGTGTATGAGATATATATATATATATATATACATATATATACATGTATGTGTGTATATATATATATATACATGTATGTATATATATACACACACATTGTTTTCTGTATATATGCATTAGAACATTTTTGGA